GGGGAAGAAGCCCAAGGGATCAGATGGGAGGCCGAAAGGCCAGTCAGGACCGAGCCGCTGCAGGAAGTGCGGCAGGCCGCACGAGGGGGCGTGCAGGATGGGATCGTCAGGCTGCTACAAGTGCGGCAAGTTTGGGCACATCAGCAGGGATTGCACTGCTCCTGCGACAGTTATTCAGACATCGGAGTTGCTGTGTTTCCACTGCAACCAGAGGGGCCACAAGAAGGCCAATTGCCCCATGTTGACAGTTTCAGCGCCAGTGAAGGCGCCAGCTCCAGCGACCCTGCGGATCACGGATGGCCGTCAGGGCAGGCAGAGGCTCCGGTGGTGAGGAGCCGAGCATTCCAGCTGACTACAGAGGAGGCACGCGCCGCGCCCGATGTGGTGACGGGTATGATTCTTTCCTTCTATCTTTTGTTTTATGTTGTTATGATATTGATATGTGCTCCGTGTGTATATATATGTATTAGGATCGTTCCATGTGAACGGCATCCCAGTTCAGGTATTGTTCGACTCGGGTGCATCCCGATCGTTCGTTTCTCTTGCGCTTAGCAAGAGGTTTCATGAGACTTCAGGCGAGTTAGATTGCCCGTTAGAGGTAGAGATTGCTGACGATCGATCGGTGCAAGCATCGATGGTGTTTCGAGATTGCGTTCTGCGACTGTTTGAGGAGCGTTACCTGGTAGACTTGGTTCCCATTCCATTGCGTGGGAACAAGGTGATTATTGGCATGGATTGGTTGAGCCCTAATGGGGCAGTGATAGATTGCGCGCAGCAGCTAGTGCGAGTCAGGACCCCAAGCGGGGGAGAGTTAGTGATTCATGGCGAACGGCCACAGTGTGGACCCACTGTATGTTCAGCAGCGAGGGCTAGGCGTTATCTTCAGCAGGGATGCGCGGGATATGTCGCGTATGTGATGGATACCCGGGAGGCGGGTAAGGCGACCGTGAGCGAGGTCCCGGTGGTTCGAGATTTTGCAGATGTTTTCCCGGAGGAACTACCTGGGATACCTCCGGAGCGACAGGTAGAGTTCAGGATTGATCTTATTCCCGGTGCGGCTCCGATAGCCAAAGCACCGTATCGGTTGGCCCCTCCCGAGATGCAGGAGTTGTCTACGCAGCTGCAGGAGCTGCTGGACAAGGGATTTATTCGTCCGAGCAGTTCGCCTTGGGGAGCCCCGATTCTATTTGTGAAGAAGAAGGATGGGTCGCATCGGATGTGTATAGATTACCGGGAGTTGAATAAGGTGACGGTGAAGAACCGTTACCCACTCCCGAGGATTGATGACCTCTTTGACCAGCTTCAAGGAGCATCTTGGTTCTCCAAGATTGACTTGCGTTCGGGTTATCATCAGATGAGGGTCAGGGAGGAGGATACGCAGAAGACCGCGTTTCGGACACGTTATGGCCACTATGAGTTTGTGGTGATGCCGTTTGGGCTCACCAATGCTCCTGCCGCGTTCATGGATCTCATGAACCGCGTTTGCAGACCGATGCTGGATCGGTCTGTGATAGTCTTTATCGATGACATCCTGGTTTATTCCAAGACCCAGGAGGAGCATGAGGAGCATCTGAGGGAGGTGTTGGAGACCCTGAGGAGGGAGAGCTTGTATGCCAAGTTCTCCAAGTGCGAGTTCTGGCTGCGCGAGGTGCAGTTTCTTGGGCACCTCGTCAACCAGAACGGGATTCTGGTCGATCCGGCCAAGGTTGAGGCCGTGATGAGATGGGAGGTTCTGAAGTCTCCATCTGAGATTCGGAGTTTCCTAGGATTAGCGGGCTACTATCGGAGATTTATCCAAGATTTCTCCAAGATAGTCGTACCCCTGACACGACTGACGAAGAAAGTCGTGGTCTTTCGGTGGGGACCCGAGCAGCAGGCTGCGTTTGAGATGCTGAGACAGAAATTGTGTGAGGCGCCAATCCTAGCCCTGCCTGAGGGCGTAGAGGATTTTGTGGTTTATTGTGATGCGTCCATTTCGGGGTTGGGCGCAGTTCTGATGCAGAGGGGGCATGTCATTGCCTACGCTTCGAGGCAGCTCAAGCCCCACGAGGCGAACTACCCGACGCACGATTTGGAGTTGGGGGCCGTGGTCTTCGCCCTCAAGATTTGGCGACATTACCTCTACGGGGTTCGTTGTACCATCTACACGGACCACAAGAGTCTGAGGTATCTCATGGACCAGCCGAATCTGAACATGAGGCAGCGTCGGTGGTTGGATGTGGTGAAGGATTATGATTGCGAGATCCTTTACCACCCGGGGAAGGCCAACGTGGTGGCCGATGCGCTTAGCCGCAAGGCGGCGCCGATCAGGGACGTATGCCTGAGGATGACCGTAGTGACTCCCCTATTGGAGCAAATTCGGGAGGCTCAACAGGAGGCTATCAAGGAGGAGCATCGGAAGAGCGAGCGCGTGGTGGGTCAGGTATCCTCTTTTGATTATGATAGCCGGGGTCTATTGACACTACACCATAGGGTGTGGGTGCCGTATCACGGGGGCGTCCGCCAGATTTTGATGGATGAGGCGCACAAGTCCCGATTCTCTATCCATCCTGGGGCGACGAAGATGTATAGGGATCTTCGTCTGAACTATTGGTGGCCCTGCATGAAGCGGGATGTGGCATGGTACGTAGAGCGGTGCTTGACCTGCAGGAAGGTCAAGGCCGAACATCAGAGACCGCATGGTAAGATGCAGCCGTTGGACATTCCACTGTGGAAATGGGAAGATATCACCATGGACTTTATTACAAAGCTTCCCAGAACCGCGCGTGGAGTGGATTCGATTTGGGTCATCGTGGACCGACTGACCAAGAGTGCTCACTTTATTCCGATTCAGGAGAGCATATCGGCCGAGAAGTTGGCCGATATCTATATCAGGGAAATCGTGGCGCGGCACGGGGTGCCGGTATCGGTGATCTCGGATAGGGATGTACGTTTCACTTCCAGATTTTGGAAGAAGTTTCATGACGAGTTGGGCACTCGATTGCATTTTAGCACCGCCTTTCACCCGCAGACAGATGGTCAGAGTGAGCGGACCATCCAGACTTTGGAGGACATGTTGCGGGCGTGTGTGTTGGATTTCGGTGGTAGCTGGGATACCTATCTTCCCTTGGCTGAGTTCTCCTACAACAACAGCTATCACGCGAGTATTGACCGACCACCGTTCGAGATGTTGTACGGGCGGAGGTGCAGAACCCCGATATGTTGGGGTGAAGTTGGCCAGAGAGTCATGGGAAGCACCGAGGTGGTGCTAGAGACGACCGAGAGGATCCAGCAGGTTCGGAGCAGACTTCAGACTGCTCAGAGTCGGCAGAAAAGTTACGCCGATAAGCGTCGATCCGACTTGGAGTTCCAAGTCGGGGATATGGTTCTCCTGAAAGTGTCGCCTTGGAAAGGCATCATTCGATTCAGGAAGCGGGGCAAGTTGGGCCCAAGATTCATCGGGCCGTTCAGGGTTGTAGCCCGGGTGGGCAAGGTGGCGTATAGGCTGGATCTGCCAGCCGAGCTCAGTCAGATCCACAGCACTTTCCATGTTTCGTAGCTGCGGAAGTGCCTGGTGGACGATTCAGCGGTAGTACCGTTGGAGGATATTCAGGTTGATGACAGCTTGAATTACATTGAGCGCCCAGTCGCAATACTCGACAGGAAGTCAAAGGCTTTGAGGAACAAGAGGGTAGAACTAGTGAAGGTGCAATGGCCGCACTGCAAGGGTTCGGAATGGACTTGGGAGCCGATGGACGAGATGATGGAGCACTACCCCGAGCTGTTTCAGGATCGAGCAGCAGACTTCGAGGACGAAGTCTAAAATAAGTGGGGGAGATTTGTAGCACCTGGTTTCCGGTATGTGAATTTTATTTGAATATTTCCCTATTTTAGCCTTGGACTCGGCGAGTCATAGGTCCGACTCGCCGAGTAGGGACGAGACTCAGGACACGTTTAAGTTGGCGACTCGGCGAGTCCATATCCCGGACTCGGCGAGTCACCGCTGCTGGATGAAACCCTAAATTTCAAGGGTTTGCACCCTATTTAAACCCTCATTCCGCCCCAAACTCGTCCCCATTCACCCCCAGAACTCCCAACATCGTTTCTACCCTTATTTCCTTGAGAGATTGAAGTGTTTTGGAGTGTTCTTGAAGATTTTGAAGAGAAAGAAGAGTAGATCAAGAAGAGGAGAAGGAGACCAGGCATCTTTGTGTCATCTCAACGTTTTCCTTGAGGTATAGCTCGTTTCCCCTCTGTTTTCAAGCTTGTAATCTCTTTTAGCTTCATGGGAGTCCTTCTTGGGCTCTTCCCCAAGCTTGTTTGTGCTTTGTGGGTTGTAATAAGTTGTTAGCCTTTAGATCTAGGCATGATTTAGTCCTGGAGCTTGGATCTAATGCCTTTATGGGGTCATATTGCATGAAAGCCCTAGATCTACCTCTTTTGGTGCACTTTGAGCCTTAAAATCCATATTGGTGAATATCTACACGTAAAGTTGGAAACTTTACGTGTGATTTGTGCCCTAGAAGCCCAGATCTGTGAATGGCATGGACTGGAATCGAGCAAATCGGTGTATTTGATGGATGCATGGCTGCGACTCGGCGAGTCGTATATGTGACTCGACGAGTCTGGTCGCGAGTCACTGAATTGGTCCCTTTATGAGTATCGAGTTGAGCCGTGAGTCACAGGGGGTGACTCGGTGAGTTGGAAGCTGAACTCACCTATGATAGGACTCGGAGAGTCAATGCCCTGACTCGGCGAGTCCAAGGCAATCTTCATAGATCAAGAACAGACTCGGCGAGTTGTTCATACAACTCGGCGAGTCTTAGCATAAGTGTTCTTCGGATGAAGATGAACTCGACGAGTTGTTCATACAACTCGGCGAGTAGGATGAAGAGGTTGAACGTCAGTCTAGAAGATGAATCGTCGAGTCATAGCCTAACTCGAGAGTAGAAACAGGGACTCAGGACAATCGTCTGATAGGGACTCGACGAGTTGGAGAGCCAACTCGGCGAGTCGGGTCAATGAAAGTTGACTCTGACTTTGACTTAGCTAGACCATGGGTAAAATGGTCATTTTACCCAAAGGACAGTTAACAGTGTTTGATTGAGTATGTTGTGGGAATTGCAGCCGGAGGATTTCCGGAGCAGCAGCGGTCAGTTAGTTCCCGATCAGTTCAGCAGCTACTTTGAGGTGAGTTACCTTCCAGTAGTGGTGGGTCTAAGGCCACAATGCCGGCCCACCAGTAGGAGACGTATGATAGATGATTGTCTTTGTGATATCATCTAGGTTTGCTATTACCTAATATGTTATATTCTATCATGATACGTTATATGCGATAGTAGTAGAGTTCGGTTGTTAGGACCGCAGGGTAGTCAGATACCCCAGAAACGTCTGACAGTATGTGATGATATGTTTGTATGTTGGCCTGTTATGTTATGCGATAGAGGTAGCAGGAGGGGACCAGTCCCTGAGGATCGGTTGTTAGGACCGATGGGTAGTCAGCACCCCAGAATGGCTTGACATGGGTAGTCACACCCCAGAATGGCTTGACACGGGTAGGACGACACCCCAGAATGGCCGTATGGGTAGGTCGGCACCCCAGAATGGTCGTACCGGGTAGTCAGGCACCCCAGAATGGTTTGCGCCTTGCAGTGTGAACGCAGGTATGCTAGATATCACCCGTTTAGGTAATTGAAGATTGTGGAAATCTCAGATGTGTTCATAATTTTCTTTTTGGTTCTTGATATTTTTATTTCCATTTTTACCCTTTTATATCCTTTTTAAAGTATCATATACCTAAAGTTTTGGAACGATAATATTATTTATAATTTAATCTATTAAAGTTAATTTTATTTTTGTTTCTTTTTGTGATTAAATTTTATAGGGAACTAAAAGCAAGGTTAAAGGAGATAACGAAGGAATTTAATTTATTTTTGTTTCTTTTTGTGATTAAATTTTAGGGCTCATAAGCCCCCGTCTCTTTTGTTTTGATCGGGTAGAGGATATGAATCGTTCCCAAAGGAGATAACGAAGGAATTTGATTATAGACGCGAAGGGGAAATCGGACCAGAAGGCAGCACGATGGTTCGTCGCTCGACTCGCAATCGGTGGCGGCCTCCGGGGTTCGACTAGACTGAAGAAGAAGAAGAAAAATGATCGAAGCAGCGAGGCGGCTGTCTCCTCGGACGAGAAGAAAGAGACAAAGCAACGGGGCTGCTCGTCTTCAGTGTTGGAAGGAGTTGCGAAGGAAAACGAGATGGCTGCGAGGCCCGATGGCGGTCGTCATCTCGGAAAGAAGATGGAGCGCCTCTGATGCTTGGAATTTGCCTCCGGTGTCGACCGATCGTGAAGAAGAAGGGAGCGCCTCCGTCTTTGACCGATTGTGTAGAAGAACTAAGGAAGATGTTAAAATGGGTCTTCAATTTCTGGACTGACCGAATAGAAGAAGATGAACAGAAGCAACCATGGCCAGCAGGACAGTCATCGATTATAGCAACTAGGGCGTTCGGGTGGTTCTTCTTCAGCAGAAAAAAAATGTACGGGAATAGCAACAGGTATGGTTTGGATTGTTTAAATATAAAATCGATGGGTTTTTGAAGTGTTTGGGTTTGATTGCTTGTCAGGAAGAAGGAAACACGAAGA